ACCGTTTCAATCTGCACATTTGTGTCCACCAGCCATCTTTTCGGGGCCCGAATGGAATCACTTTTTGGAGCCCGAGCCCAGTGCCCGAATGGAACGGTTCTTCGAGGCCCGAATGGGTAGTTTTTTTCTTGTGGTGCTTGAATACTTTGTGCAAGTTGGACTTTTTTGCTTTTTTGGGGATCTAAAGCTTGACTTGCCGGTAGTTGAACCTTTCGACCATTGACAAACTCTTATGGGCCAGCATTGAAAAAATCTGGGCAGGGGGTGGACTCTCGCTACTTTCTTTGTCAAGCTCCAGCCGCCTGACTTCACGTCGCCGTTGCCAAAGGGGGCGTGCCATGGTTGTGATAAAAGAGCGAGCTGGGGGAGATGAAGAACACCAAGAAGCTGCAGGCCGACCCCGTGAATGTCAAAACTGCAACTAAGAGACGGCAGCTTGGAATAACAGTTCAGTCAATAATTGTAGTATGTGTTTTATTATCTCTTCAACTGTGTTCTTGAGCCTGCCCAAAACATCTTTGCAAACTGCACTGGGCCAGGTACGAGAACAACCGGCGCTGCAACATCCGTGTGCGACTCACCAAGGAAGAACTATTGAATCTCCAAAACCATGATGAGTTGCTTGCTGAAGTAGATCGGCTGCGGCTGGACAATGACTCCATGAAGAAAGAATTAGATTTCCGGACCAAAAGGACTGGCGAAACCGTCTCCGCCAGGCTGAGCAGAAATTCCGTGAAGGACCTGAAAAGAACGCGCGGCTTGAAGAGGCCCTGCGTGATTTAAAGAGCAAGTTGGACCAGCTTGCGCTTATGACAAATTGCGCTCGCGCAGTTTGTTTTGAGGCGAAAGCAGCCAGCGCCAGTGCCTGAGGCAAACCTGGCAGCTGCCATATGACGGGGTCTCACTGGCGCTGTCCAGCTGTATCTCTTTTCCATTGGCATGGGGCAATGCCGGAAAAAAAGAGAGCAGCTGCGCGTTGCACGGCCTTTTGCTTCTTGCTTATCGGCTGCTAAGGTGGCCAACGATTGTAACCAGTAGGCTGCCAAGTTCCCCTGCTGCATGTTTCTGCCCAAGCGGATCCCGCCCCTTCCCTCTTGACTTTCTTCTTTGGGGTCCTGTTGGCCATGCAGCAACGCAAGTCAAGTTCAAGCCACCTCGGAGTAAGAGCGCATCCCAAAATTCTTCCCCCCCTCCCCCCCCTCCCCCTCCCTCCCCAAGATTTTCGGCAAAAAAAACCTTTCCGAAAAACGACTTGTTTTGACAAAGATGCACACCCGAAAAAAACAAGGTTTTCGGTCCACAAAAAGCACCAAAAAAAAAGGCCTAAAAAGCATGTCCTTAATGACCGGCCAGATTGTGCAACATCACCATAGATTCCACAGCGGCGAAGCTCAGCCAACATGGTGAACATGCAACCAATGAAATCTACCGTGAGGCGGCGACATGAATACAAGCTGCACAGAATATCACGCACAAGACAATGCAAGCACAGTCAAGCACAAGATCAAACTAATGCAAAGAAAGAAGATGACGGACGAGTTTTAAACCTCGACTCATCCGTGACACGGCTGCCGCTCCGGGCTCATAAGTGAACGAAGTTCGTCAAGGTGCCTGCTCATCCGCTGAGTAAGCGAGCGGTCACGATGAGGTGACTCAGCGCCTTCTCAGTGAGCTTGGTGAGATAGCCGGGCTCCAGTCCCCACGAAGCCGCCATCGCCCCGAGAGTGGGTGCGTCGCCTTTTGGCATGCGTTGACGCGTCTGAAGGAGTTGCGTCGCCATGGAATCCAATGACTTGTTGCCGTTGAGCCGGGACGGGTGATTGGCCCACTTGACCAGTGACGTCAAAGTTGTGGTTGTGGGCGATTGCTTGAGATACAAGCGTGGCTGGTCACTGGTCCATGTGTAGTACTTGACAACTTCTTCCGGCGTGCTGTGCATGGTGAGCAATTGAGAGGCCGCCGGCTTGGACGGTGGTGAAGAAACTCCGTGAAGAGACTGAATGATCCGGGGCTGCGCCGCGCTATCAAACGACTTGCCATCAAGGGCCGCTGCGCTGGCCGTAGGGAGGGAGCTGGCAGGCGACGAGGATTGTGTGTGGTTGACCGGTGGTGGTGTAACCAACTCTGCATCATCTTTCTGGCTTGCCACCGTGGGGGAAGTCGAAGCGCGAAGCGATGCTGAATACTGAGCCTGGAGCAGTTCATGAGCACGATTTAGATCATTGTACTTCTTGACCATGTCATCTGTCTGGGTGGGAGGCGTGAGAGATGCGTGGTGTTGTTGAAGAAATTGAAGTACCAAGTTGGCCAAATGGTCATGAACCTTGATCCGCTGATTGAAGTCATCGAGGTTGAGTCCCAGCGAATTGGCAAGGTCCTTTTCCAGGGTGAGCAGGTTGATCGACTGCGATCGCCGTAGTAGTTTGGAACAGGCACTCCAAAGCAAGGCCTCAGTGCGAGTGCGAAAGCCTTCCCACGTCACGAATCTGCCGTGAGCGAACGGTCGGAGCAGCCAGTTGGTGAGGCCCCCATGAATAACCTGAATCAGGCGAACGTCACGAATGTCCATGCCTGACATGTCGCGTTGGTTGCTATGCGGAGTGTTGGCAACCGTCATGGGCAGGCTGAAGTTGTAGAGCTGATTGACATCTAACATGCCATCTCCAGGTGTCCAGTCAGGTGATGGTGTAAGCCAGGCTTTCTGAGGACGAACCGGTAGAGCAGCAGGAGGTCCAGGTGGCGGTATAGGTTGCGAGGTAGTGACCGGTGGTGACATCACGGACGGCATGAACTTCGTTGGCGTGGGCTCTGGAGGAATCGGCATCATGTAGTTGATCGATGGATGTTGGAACTGCTGCGTGGGACTAGGGATCGATTGAAAATTGGTGGGCATCATCGGGAAATTGTTGGCGGAGTTGTAGCCAGAATTGTGTTGCCAAGATACCAGGTTGTTCCAATCCATGCCCTCCGAGACGTGGTGGTCATTGTGTTCACGTCGGTGTGCTTTACGAGCTTGAGGAGAAGTACTCCGGTCGCGTCTGCGCCGAGTCCTGGATCTATCACGATCATCACGTCGAGACATGGTGACGCAACCGACTCTGAATCTTCACACTTCCACCTTGAGAGAAACGAATCCGACAACATGCAAATCAATGCAAATGCAAGTCAACGGCCCCCAGCTGCGATGGTTGACGAAATGGATCCGACAAAAGGTAAGTCGATGCAAGTTGATGTCAGCGTCCATCATCAGCATTGGTGCAAGAAATGAATCTGACAAATGAAAGGCAATGCACGGTCAAGTCAGCAGCAATCAACCGCGTGGTGAGAGCAACAAATCCAACAAATGGAAACCGAATGCAATGCAACTAAGCAGCCGTCTGCAGCTATAGTGAATCCGACAATTACAAGAAAATGCAAATGCAAGTCAGCAATCTTCAACCGCTATGATACGAGCAACAAGTTCAACCAATGGTAAGCCAATGCAATGAAAGTCGACAGCCAGCAGCTGTGGTGAGACGTCACTATGGTCTGATCGCTGTCTTCCCTTTAACTTTAGTGAAACCTCGTTCCTGGTTAAATGTGAAATTCCGCTGTTCTATGATAAGCACGTTGAGGTCAAATTTTCCCACAGAGCCGGCCCGGGGTCACACAATGGGTACACCCGAGGATTCCCCACGAATGGGGTGTACACACTTGAACTCCAAATGGAGAGTGCTAATCTTTCGAGTACAACTGATGAGTCTCGAGTACAACTGATGAGTCTCGAGTGGGTTCGGCTTGCAGTCACTTGGCTTCCGTCTAGCAGCGAACACGTTACCCGAAAGAACAAGAAGCACAAACAGCGCCGCAACCAAGGGGGCCAAAAAGGACTTTCAGAATCACTTGCAGGTACAGGAGTTTGCGTCCAAACTCCCTTCCGGCTCATTCTCACAGCTTCGTTGGCACGGCTAGAGAATGAGCTGCCGTGCCCCCTGCCTCCGAAAACGGCCCAAGGTGGTGACAGGGTATTCTGTCACTCCGCACACACACACACGCGCAACCACAAGCACGCGCGTGTCTGCGTGCGCAAGCACGCCCGCGCCCGCCCGCCCGCACGCAAGCACGCGCCCGCCCGCCCGCCCGCCCGCCCGCCCGCACCCACACCATGCGCACCCACACACATACACACACACGCACGCACGCACGCTCGCTCGCACGCACAAACGCAAACACACACACACACACACAAAAAAAATACAACAACAAAACACACAAAACACACACACACACACAAACACACACGCGCGCACGCACGCACACACGCACACACACGCACAAGCACACACATACACACACACACACACACACACACACACACACACGCACACACACACACACACACACACACACACACACACACACACACACACACACACACACACACACACACACACACACACACACACACACACACACACACACACGCACACGCACACGCATACACAGCGTGGCGAGGCGCGGCGCGGCGCGGCGCCACACGGCGCGGCAGGGCAACACAGTACAGTCCAGAAACACACAGCACAGCGCAACACGCACACACAACACACACGCACACACACGTGCACTCAACACACGAACACAAAACATACAACACACACACATATAGTCAACACACATATATATATAGATATATATATATATACACATACACATAGACATACACATACTTATATAACGCGCCACACTTACACTCCCTAGTGAGCACCCTAGGGAACGTTAATAGGCGATGGCAGGCCATGTGTGCAAAAGTCAAAGAAATGAACGAAGCCCTGCCAAACACACCATGGCTGCAGCCTTTCGAGCAGGTGTCAAACCAGTAATTAAGGGGGGGTTCACATGGGTGACGCTTGTCCCTTCGCATCTGAGATACAGGAGAAGCAATATGGGCTGACTTCCATTAATCCTGTTCCGTCCAAAATGATCGCAGGTCAACTGGAATGTTGTTCAAGCAACAAACGAAACTATTCACAAAGCAGCCCAGTGTCGACCAAGTAAGCACATTGCCTGTCAAGCTGATGAAATGCCACCGCTTTTTCTGTTGAAGTTCTGTGACGTGAAGGACCGGGATAGCCTGCA